GACTTTTTTGATGACCTTCATCAAGAAGTTAATAAAGTAAATAATGTTGAGGATACGAAATTCATTGTTACAATAATTACTTATATCTGTAAACTGACAATACAACTTTATTAGGTGTGTCAACGTTTGACATCACCTGATAACATCAAGAAGTTATTGAAACCTAAGAGGCCTGCCCTGTATATGCTTTTGGTTTACTGCTCCAAGAAAAATACATTTAAAAGTATGACATTAAAGTTCAACGTTACCTTTAGTCTTTGCAACTTGGCATGAAGGATGGCATCATCTCCTGATTGGTTAGAGCAGTCTTTCAGCTCCGACTTCACATCTGTGAGACGGGAGTGGAAGTCTTGGACGAGCTCTGCTCGGAGGAACAGAAACAACAGGTAAGCTTAAAGCTAAATAAAAACGGTGACAAGTTGAGAAAAACTGATGTATGGTTAAGTATTTAACAACAAAGAAGGGAGGAGAGTGAGGAGAGGCGATGTGTTGAGGCAGATGGGAAGTGTGGGTGTGTCTACGCTGTGCAGCGCTGGGTTACCTTGGCAACAAGCCAAAAATGAGTCCCTCGAGAGCAGATGTGACGAGAGCAACATTACTCTCCGTGGCACAGGTGTGTGTCTGAGCAATGGGAGCGTACCAGACAGTGTGTGTCAATGAGTGTGAGTGTAGTGGGCGGATTGAGTGTGCCCTGGGGAAAGATGTAGGATAATCAACACTAAATCTGTTGCACCACTAACATGAACGAATGACAATGCATCATGAGTTGTGCACTATTTCAATGGATGATTATGAGATTTTAAGTGCTATTAAAAATGTGTACTCCTACTTAGAGGAAAAACTGTTTTTTTTAATGTTTCATAATATGAAACACTTATATAGTCGAGCCAAAGTATCAACTCATTTCTTATAGTCAGATAAATTTAACTGAAATAAGTAAGTTACTCCCAGTCCTGACTGTGCTCATTGTGTGATGTTGCGGTAGTACTGATATGTCTTGAAGCACAGAAAACAAAAGAAAATAACAGTCTATAATATTTTGTCTCCTCTTTTTAGTGTTTAAAGACATCAGTGTCCCCATAATTCCACATTCCTATCTCTTACCGTTGAAGTGGAGCTGTAGCCCGTCCTGCAGGCTGCCTCTGGTCTTGGCACAGCGCTGGGCGACAGCCTCTGTTCGCTTGGCGATGGAGGTGAGGTCAGAGGAGAGGAATGAGAGCTCCTGAGAGGGGTGAGATCTGCACAGGGCACTCAGAGAATCTCTAGCCGAGTCCATGTCTGCCCTCTGTTGCTGCACCACGCTCTGCAGGTCCTGTACATGAAAAGGTGGAAGATCGCAACTAACTTAATCCATCTCCCCTCACAAATCTTTCGGGGAACCTACTATGGTCTTCAGGTTATGTAAAAACCTGAAGTGCCTGACTACAGCTAGTGTTTGGTTTATTCATTATGGGCTACTGTAGTAACATGGTGGTGCAACATGGGTTCTTAGTGGGAAAGAACTCGCCCCCTATGTACTGTAGATATGTTAACGAAAAACTACAATACTTAGTTTAATGTGATAATACACTCATAAAAAACATAGTTATGATTATTATAAACCATCTCTGCCTTGTTAATTGATGGTCGATAGTAGTGTGAAGTTACAGGGATAGCGATAGAAATAGTTAAACCTACTGTAGAGGGAGACTGTGTTGTCACTTTTTTATCAGAAGTATTACTTTTCTATATACTGTATAATATGGATAGGTCTGGAATTATTGTGTTCTTGTATCACATTGAAGGTGTCATACCTTAACTGTACCAATGTCTTCAGGAGAAGTAGCTTCAGTGAGGTCAGATAAGGAACCCTCGACCGCCACCAGCCGCTCGGACATCTGGGACATGAGGTCCTCCAGTCGCTGCTTTTGGAAACTGAAGTAGGTCAAAGTGTGTTTGGCCTGGTTGTACACTTCATGTGCATGGGCCATCTTCTTCCTCAGGTCTGACTCCAGGACCTGGTTACAAAACCAAAAATCCATATAAATATATTTCTATATTCATTTTAGGTACATGTAATTAGTATTTGGGTTTGTATTTCCACATCAGGCTTAGTAGACAATTGGAAAATAATTATTTCTCGTAAAAAGGTCAGAAAAATCCTCCCAAATGTGTCTTCCATACCTGCATTTGTAACGGAGTTTCCTGCAGTTTGGCCCGCTCCTTCAGCTCTGCCACTCTCTCCTGCAGGGTGTCCAGCCTCTGCTCCCTCTTCTCAACCTCAGCCTGCAGATCAAATTACCAAAGAATTCAATTAAATCACGCCTGCTAAGAACTCATTCTAAATATTATCACACCATCATCCTTTTATGCATTCTGTCCAGTGGGCTCTGACCTGAAAGGTGGCAAGATGGGTCTCTGTCTGCTCTTTATCACTGAGATTGGTCACACTGTCATTGAGATCAGCGATGGAGTTGGCGGCCCATTGGTTAATATCCTGCTCCATGGATTTCAGGTCGTCCCACAGAGATACACAGTAGCCCAGTCTCTCTGTGTTGGTTTGTATTTTCTCTGAGACCTAAAGGAACAGAGACCAGAATTGTATCTGAGTACAGCACAGAATACGTCTCAATCAACAGGAGAGGTAAGATCTCCCTCCCTCTTGTGTTTAGTTGTCTCTCTCTTTAACAAGGGACGGTATGCTTTACTGGGAGATGGAAGGAAAACAAGGCCTAATTGGTTTGACAGATGTGGTGATGAGAAGTGAGAGAGAGAAAGGGAGAGAGGGGGAGACAGAAAGGCAGATAACACGTCGAGACGTGTTTGTATTTCTGTCTCATTTGTGACAGCTGAGCAGCCCCTTAAACTAAATCCCTCAAGAGGAGAAAATGAAAAAAGAGAAAAACTGAAATAAATATCATTTAAAGAAGCGAAGCACAAGTGTTTGGCAGAGCTGTAATCTGGAAGACATAATTGATTTCCCCCCTCTATAGTCAAATCAAAACAACACCACAAATCTCTTTATGCTCTTCATAGTCATTATCATGTTTCGGCACAGGGAGAATTCATGAAGGACCAAGTGTGTGGATGAGGAGAATTCATTAATGTCAAAAAGTATTATTTCACCATGACTGACTAGGTAGATAGAGGATGTATCATGCTTTTCCCTCAATAAAAAAACCGCCCAGTGACTTCCGCTGTCAGGCCCTCTTTCCTCAAACAGGTGCATGTGTTATTGACTACCACTCACCTCCAGCCACTGGTCCCTTAACATCTCCATGTCTCTGTGGAGGGAGCTCGCATCAGAGTTGGGAACCTTCTCCAGCTCTCTCTGCAGGTCCTCCACTGTGCAGATGAGCTGGTCCATGTCTTCCTGTTTTTCTCTCAGCTCGGCTTGCACCGTGTCATGCTAAAGAGACAGGGAAGAGTGCAGAAGGAATGACAACAGGCCGCCACTAGAGGGAGAGATACTGTATGAACAGGGAGGGTACAGTATAAGGGGTTTGTTGTTGAATTGCAGTTCTATTGATGAGAGTTTGCAGGAAAAATCTGCATATTACATTCTGAGACGTCTAAATCAATAACTGCATAATTACATAGTGCAGACGTTTGGGAAAAAACGAATTGTTAATGCTCAGTTGGTATATCAGGAAAGATATAGACTAGTTATACACAATATAACAAAGATTTGAAGAATGTAATATCTGTCCTGACATACCTTGGTTGACCTTGACACCCATTTGTTTTGATGTATGAATCATATCTATACATCTTGTGCAATAACTGCATAATCTGAAAGAAATATCCAAAACAATTCATAATTTTCTCATGAAAAAAAGTACTAACTCGTGTAAAAGTCCTTTTGGCCTCCTGAGCATTGTGGTTGTGGTCGGGCAGATTGTGAGCAACAGCCTGAGCGTTCTCCACCACAGTGGTGAGGATTGACTTCAGGTGGTGGAACTGGCGTAGAAGATCAACCACAACTCCACTCTGTTCCTGACTGCATTAGAAAAGAGAGTAATAAGGTCAAGACTATTACTTGGCATAATAATAATAATATATAATATTTTTATAGCGCCTTTCAGGAAACCCAAGGTCGCTTTACAAGTCGGGTAGGGGGGGGGAGTAGGGGAAAAAAGGCAGACAGGTTAAGGGGGTGGGGGGGGGGGGAAGTAGCGGAAAAATAAACCTATTAAACTAACTGTACAGTGGCGAAAGCCTTGGTAAAAAGGTGCGTTTTGAGGGCTTTTTTGAAAATGTCCAGGGTTGGGGCGCTGCGGATTTCGGGGGGGAGAGAGTTCCAGATTTGCACTAGATATAAAAGGAAAATACAACATACTTTGCAACTGCTGTTTAACTATTGTGTTTCTATATTTAAATTATAAAATATTCTGCACAGTAGGACCAAAAACAAACATAGACAAAATGTACAGTATGAGTTAAAATCCCTCTCTGCCTTCCCCCGTCCTCACCCATTGTTGATCAGAGTCCTGACGTCCTCCCAGGCAGTCTTCACCAGCGCTACCTCCCTGAGAGCCTCCCCAGCCAGCTCACTGTCTCTGAGGGCCAGCTGGCTTCCCTTCTCCTCTAACCACCTCTGGGAATGCTGCAGGGACTGGAGCTCATCCTCCAGCTGGACGAAAAAACGCAGCCTGGGAGAAATAGATGCAGGACACAACAATGGGGATTACTACCCTGATTCCAACATATTATACACATTTTTTCACATTTAAAATGATATTTTGGCTCCATTTATATAAAGGAATATTCGCAGTTTGGCTTACAGTAGGTGTGTGAATGAATAGCTTAGAGGGTGCACTTGAAAATGACAAAGTATATTCAACAATATGGATGACTTACAAAAACTCTTTAAGTTGTTGGTAAACTTAAAGTTATGATCATTATTTGCTACAACAATATATATATATATATTTAGGGGCCTGAATTGTGTTGATAACCATTTACAAACCTTTTTTGAAAGGCATGTACAGTGATCTCTCTGGCCCCCTCTTGCCTCGCTTCATTGTCCAGTTTGTTCAAATTCTTCATCACCTCCTCCTTCCTCTCCCTGAAAGAGGTCCATAATGCTCCTAAAGCGTCTGCTTCGCTCTGCCTCCACCCCACCCCCCTCTGCACCTCCTCTAGAGCCATCATCAGGGCCACTGCCTGTCCCCTGCAGGAGGTTCTTCCCTGAGGGTGGCTCAGGTCTCTGTGAGCCTGCCACTCTGCCCCACTCAGGTGAAGGTGTGCCTTGCTCAGCTGCCCATCCAACCCGACTGCCTCCGCCTCTAGCCTGGCTACGTCTTTAGCCACTTCCCCTATTCCACGGTGCAGCTCTTCAGCTTTGGCGCGGTCCCAGCTCCCCCGGCCCTCCACTGCCTCATGAAGGCAGCGCACAGTACGAACTGCAGCTTTATGCTTCTCAAGGAAAGTCTTCAACTGATTCAGGCACTCTTTACGGAGGAGCAGGAGGCGCTGGGATTCACTGAGGGGCTGCAGGCAGTCCTCTCTCCAGCCTTGGAGCTGCTGTTGGGCCTCCGAGGTGGAGCAGTGAAGCAGGGAGGACTCTCTTTGCTGAAGAGTCTCTCTCAGCGATGCATGTGCCTGTAGCTGCACCTCATGCTCCTGCAACAAGATGGTTCAATTAGATACATTTACATTAGCTCCTACAGCAATCAATACATTACATTAAATGTCACTTGTTAGACGCTTTTATCCAAAGCGACTTACATACTCAATACTATGGGCAATCCCCACAGGAGCAATTTGGGGTGAAGTGTCTTGCCCAGGGACACAACGACATGCTGACTGCAGTGGGGTTTGAACCTGTGACCCCCTGATCCAATACAATCCAATGCTTACTCTAACTACTCTCATATACAAAACCTATGAAGGACATGTTTGTTGACAGCAAAGTATTGATTTCTCACCTTCAGCTGACTAATTGCAGCCTCAAGATCAGCAATATCAACCTGGGAAGAGCTTCTCAAGCCAGACAGGAAGTGTTCACTCCTTTGGGTCAGAGTCAGCAGTGCCTGATCAAATTGTTCCAGCTTTGACAACTGACACTGCAGCAGCTCAAGTCTAAAAGAGTGGAGACAGGCAGTTTAGATTAAGATAATTACTTTTGTTACAATAGTAGTTTATCTTAACAAAACAAACACCATTGAACCACAACATTTCGCAGGTCGAATTATGGAGGGATAAAGTAAAATAATAAAACATTTGTATGAAAAGTTAAACGAGAGATACCGATGTGATATGCTGTTCTTCACAGAAGTGCATCTTTCCTCTAGTTGTGCGAGATCGTAGCTGAGCACTTCAACACAAGTTTCAGATGCTGTTGGGTACAGACACAGAGCGAGATTCACAAGCCCCTGCAGAAGAGCCTCATACGATGCCGTCTCCCCCTGCATTTCCTGGATGGGTGAATCATTATTCAAAGATGAGGCAACACAAAAACAGCAGGAAACACTCTGAATTAGGTGAAGCAAAGCTGAAAAAAGGGAAGAAAAAACACAAATGCAAAATGCTCATTTAATGTTCAGTGAATAACAAGCAAGAAATATAAAAATGATTCACCTGCACGTTGAGTAGTTCATTCCTGAGTTTTTCTTTGTCTGCAGAAAGCAGGTCAGTGTCTGGACAGCAGACAGACTCACACCTGTTCAGCCAGTTTTTCATGGACGAATTCTCCTTTTCAAATCTGCAGAGACAATACATTACAGACAAATGAATTCAAATCAAATACAATTTATGCAGCACCATTTTGAAAATTATTATAATAAAAGCTGATCTAACAATAGATTGATAGTAGCATTCTGTTTACACACGCGCACACACACAGAGTACAGTGTGTGGTTTTTCTGTTATTATCTGACCAAGCCTCAGTATCATTGACAGGGTCATAATAGGGCAACCATATCTTGCCAGAGCACCCAGAGCTGTAAGTAATCCCTCATAAAAACACCTGCAGGGGAGAAGATTGAGGATCACCCAGATACACACACAGACACATACTGTATAAACTCAGCTGAAGTTAAGCAACAGTTAAACATGTAAATGGTTATTATAACAAAAGTCACTGACTTAATAAAATAAAACAAGCACTAAGCTTGAACTCTCTAAACAGCTACAACGTGACTGCTGAGACAGAAGAGAGAGAAACAATTGCTCCAATCTATTCTCCAAGTCTATTGTGTGATCAAAGAAAGCGATGAGAGAAGCATATTATTAGAATAGAAATGCTAAGGCTGACTGAGACAGACAGATTGAGTCAAAGACAGGATCTCGCTTCCCTACACCACACGCAGATAAGGGAATAAAAGAGGAAATTGACATAGAAAGTCGAATTCAGCAAAAAGAGCAGAGGCACAATAAAAGGGAAACCACAATGTTTATACAATCAGAATAAGATACATGTGTTAAAGAAACAAAACCTGACAGACATTATTTTATCAAAATGAAATCCTTTTTGAGCCAGATAACATTTGTTTGTGCAATGTGACAAACTCCTCAATTGTCAAACACTCCTCTTGTAAGTGTTTAAGGGACACACACGAGGTAGAGAGCACGACTGTCCGCACAGCTAGGCATCGCAGCAGCTGGCAAAACATCCTGGATACAATCTTAGGTAAGCTCATGATGACTAAACAGAGGACTTGTTACACAATAAGAGACACTTTCAGATAAATATGCATGGGAAGGTTTTTTTTTCATAATTTTAGTAACATCGTTTTTTTGGCAACTTCCCCAACCTTCTAAAAAATGCATTAACATAGGCTCACATAACTGTTTGCCCTACCTTTGCCACAATGACAGAAGGCTCTCTAATGTAGATTGCTTTTCTGCTGCCTTTTCCAAAAATTCTCCCTGTTGCTTCTGGAGGTTAGCCACCTCTCCCTCCAGCTGGCTGCCCTCTGCAAGCCTCTTCATGGCTGAACACAGAGCCATCAGCCTGGGGTTCAGCTGCTCAACCGCCTGACAGACATCCTGGAGGAAACAGATATGTGCTTGTCATCAGATCTGCGGACTAACAAGTAAACTCTTGAATACAGTTTCAAACTATAGATTACAGGTAAGAAATGTTAATATAGTTTAGGTTTGAAAAAAATAAAGAAAATGTAATCCCTTCAGATTAGTTAGTTAGTTGTTAGTCAACCTAACATTTTACACAAATAATTCCAAATAATCACATTCAGGCATACATTGAGTTTCATCTCACCATATGATCCTGGAGGCTCTTGTATGTCTCAGATGATGATGAACAGTATGTGAGAGGACAGTCGAGCTTCTCTTTAAGGTCACTCGTTGCCTTCTTGCACTGACAATGAAAAAAAATGCACTTACTCAAAAATGTACCTTAATTCACAATTTCTGCACCTCTCTATTGTGCTGCTGCATACCTGCTCAAAGTTATCATTGTATCTCTGCCAGTAGGAGGCGCTCTGGATGAGCTGCCCTCCCAGCTGCTCTGCTCTCCCCTTCAACTCTTCCCAGCAGCGCCTCATCTGTGCGAGTCGTGTCCGGATACGTCCGGCCTCTCCAGGGGTCACAAACCTAGAGAGAGCCTCACAGTCTGCCTCCATGTGGGCCAGAGCTGCCCTCCTCTCCTCTAAACCGTCTGCCACAGCCTGTAGGGATGCAACGGCAGAGGAATGCTGATCAGGAAGGAAGTAAAAGAGGCTTGTTTTGGGAGAAATACAATAAACAAGATACACCGAAAAACAGTAGGAGAAAAAACATGTGATGAGACTTTGCTATGTTTTATCTCAACAGATTCCTGTGTCTATCACCAATACAAAATGTGTCAGGTTCGTAAAGTTCCAGAAAAATTCAAGGTGATGGAACAAAAAATAACCAACAGTGCTGTTTCTGGATGCATGAGTTTTTTACTCACAAATTACCAAATAGCAGCTGCAGGACTTCTTAAATCCTGTTATCTATAATGTTTTCCGGGAGAACAACAAGGCTGTGGTCTGTCAAATTAGATTATATTTCATTCAATATGATCACTTTATTTTCTGTATCTTAGTCTTCACTGCAGCTCTGACCCAATTTTCCCCTAGGGTTTCATTAAAATAAAATCGTATTTTATCTTAATCTTAATAACCCTCAGGGCACCCCAAAACACTACATGCACATGGCCAGAAAGCTATCTTTTTTACCGTGATGGGTACCACTTTATAATAAGACTACCCTTATAAAGGGTTTAAGAATAGTTTGTAATTCGTTTATTAATTAGGTTGTGAACACTTTATAAATCATTAATAAGCTTTTATAAGACATGAGATAAACAGGGCAACTGTGACCGGTTGCTTGCCAAATAGTGAGCCCACATTTATCTGTACTGCTATGCCTTATATTGGCTACCTAGCTTACTTCGTCTTCTTCATCAGCCAGCATCCTTGGTATCTGTTGTTCACCGAGTCGATTCTCGCTATGTAGCCAATATAAGGCTTAGTCATCTTGCCAAATAGTGAGCCTGTGTTGATGTATGAAAACTATGTTAGAACTGGTTTATAAATGGTTCTTAATGATTAATAAAGGGTTTACAACCTAATTAATAACCTAATTATAAACCCTTTATGAATCCTTTATAAGGGTAGTCTTATTATAAAGTGGTAACCCGTGAGGTACTAAAAAGTGTTTGGATTTTTTTGTTGTAAATACCAGAAGATGATTGAAGAAGTAGTGAAAAATAAGGGGCTATAAAGGCTGCAGTCAGTCCTACCTCCACTGTGATGATGTGTTTGTCCAGAGGATCTAAGGAGGAGGTGGAGCTGACAGCCTCAAGCTCTTTCTCTGTCTCATTGATCCACTGAGAGAAACCCTCTGATTCACTGCTGAAGCGCTCCCACCACATACACACCATCTCCACCTGGACAACACTGGCAGACAAAAGATAAGACATTTTGTATACATAGAGGGCTGAAAACAGACAAGCACACAACAATTGAGCATCGTGAATTTGTAATCAATTAATCTTGTCTTTATCTAAGTTCAATTTACATTTTCAATTTCAAGGCTTTATTGTCATGTGCACAGTAGCAGTGTAGGCAATGAAATATTTAAGCCCCTCCAACAATGCAACATTATATATATAGGATATAAAACAAATAAAACCAATAAAATAGCGCAAGAAATAACAGAATAGAAATAAAATAGTGCAAGAGAATGTTGAAAATATGTTTGAGGAGAATACAGCGTAATCCATATCATTTAAGGGGGTGGGAGGCTTTGGATAAGGATGGGACATACTTCTTGTTGAGGTGGTCTTGAAGTTGTGCGACTGCTTCTCTGGTGGTCTGGGCGTGCTGCAGAAGAAGAGTTTGGTTTTTTGGACCGAGCTGAATGTCTGCTGCCTTTTCCAGGAGGAGATCTGCTCGCACAGAACACTCCTCAACCTTTGTGAGGAGCTCCTACGGATGAGAGAAGCCAATGTCTTATATGAGTGAATGCAGAACAAACACTATATGCATGCAAATACACATGTACTGCACATACACACCTTGGTATGCTCCAGTTCAGTTTTCAGGCTGTCCACGCTGTTGAAAATAAGTTCTTTGTGCAGCTCATTGTTGGTGTTACTGATAAACCTCCATACTGTTTCTCTCTCTGCTTCAAAATGCTGCCAGGTGCTCAGAGTTTCCTTGAGGTTATGAAGAAATATCAGAATAAAATCACTGGGTATATCATAAATCTTTCTCTATGTAATGAACATAGCTTCATTTCAAAATCTAAATTAACTCAAGAGTTTAATTGTGAATATTTTAGAGGGACAGACACACAAACATTTAACATTTATCTGTGATGTTTGGAGTATTTATTTTACGTTTTTTACATGTTTTCTTTATAAAAGTTTCTACTCCAGGTATCTTGCAGACACATATGTTTTTGGATACACGTGTTGATTTTCTAATCAATTTGAGGACAGTGATAGAAGTGTTTAAACAAATGACGATGAAATACACATTAACAAATTAGCATGCAATTTAAAAATCAATATTTGGACCAATCAATGATGACTGCAGGGGGGTGTTGGACTCTCACACATGCTAACATTAGCAGACTTACACGATAGAAAACACCAGGCTCAATATACCTGCAGGTTGTGCTCCTTTGCCCCTGATTTGTGGTCGACATCTCTGAAAGCTCCCTCCAGCTGATGTAGAGACTGACTGAGACCCTCGCCTTTCTGCAGCTGGCGGCAGTGGGCCACCAGAAGCTCCGCCTCTCTCGTGTTAATATGCAGGCGCTTAAGGTGGTGCTATAATAAACATAAAGAAAAGAAAAACAAAATGTCAGAGGAGAAAACAAATAGTTTTGAAGCAGTGGGGAGTGAAGTTTAAGTATCGTTTTCAAAATATCTTTACACATCACCACTTTCCTGCCTCCACATTACACACACCTGGTGAATAAGATAAAGTTGTTTGGCCTCCTCCAGCCCCTCAGCATCCAGGATGCTGCTGATCTGCTCCTCAGCCTCCCTTCTCACCCTCAGGACCTCCTCGAGAGCGCCACATACCTCCTCCCTCAGCTCCTCGTACTGAAACATAGCAGAGCCCTCCTCACCCCACTGTGAATGAGGGAAACAGAGGATCAGACAGAAAGAAGGAAATACAAGAGATACATCTTAGTATTCGGAATATCTCAGAATATCTCAGAATACCTGGCAGAGTGAAGAAAAGAGTGCCCGCAGGTCAGTTGAGAGTTTAGCCAAGGTTGTTCTCTGTCTCTGGACCTCCAGATCAGAGCTAACCTCAGAAAGCCCAGCAAGACGGCTCTCAAGCCACAACAGGCTCTCTTCTCGGGCATCTACTGCTTCCTGCAGAGTCTGAAAATAGTTAAGGGAATGCAGGTTTACTAAGACTGAGCACTAATGAATCATCACATCATCTCTGTGCCGACAGCAGGATATATAATGTGCTTCCTAACCTGAACAGCAGCATCCACTTGTTCCTGATGGCTGGAATTCCTTGCTGTTTCTCTCAAAAGCCTCACATGCCTCCTCTGGGATGAGAGCCAATCAGAGATCTCACAAAACCTAGAAAAAGGAACTACTTTAAAGCACCTCCAGTAATCAAAATGTCAGGCTTTAAGATGTTGCAGATACCGTCATGTCTTTGAGTTTTTGTCGAGCTTTACCTATCATTCCACTCTTTCCATTTATCAGGGTGATGCTCCAGTTTGAGATAGGTGCTCTTGATTTGTTCTGTAACCTCCTCTACAGTCCTCCTGGTGGAGTCTAGCGTTCGATAAACTGGGTCATTGTCAGGTAACTTGTGACACAGATCCTCCATGTTTCTAATCCTCTTCTCACACAGAGTCACAGGTTTGCGTTCCCTGAAAAAAGTCTGGAGATAAGAGAGAAGGGAATGTTACATGTAGGAGGCTCCAAAGTGATGATGAAGCTGACGTTAAGTGATTTTATCTCATTCTATTTCACTCCTGGTTTAATCTACTTTAAGTTTTAAATCCAAGGCTCACTCTGTGCTCTTTGATCACTCGCTCACTGGTGCAGGTGCCTGACAGAGCTTGCATTTCTCTGTCCAGCTCTGATCTGCAGTCTTTTATAATCACAGCCACTCTGCTCCACTCCACTTCCACTTTTAGACGGAGCAGATGAGACGGTACCTCGCTCTGGATGTCCTGTGGAAAAGACAGAGTAGGACAGACATGGTAGATAAGATATACAGTATAATAAACATGAGTTTCAGTCTCATATTGTATCCTCTTCAGACACAAAATATCCTCCAGAGAGACTGAGAGGGTTGCATTTTAATCTAACTAGTACAGGTTAATTGGAAACAGACTGGAGGGAACTCTATCAAAGCCAAAGGTCTTCCTGGTTAAGTTAATGAAGTATCGGCTAAGCGCCTCCAGAGATGTACAGTAATTAGTGAGAGTGTTAAAGCACGGTGACCCCTGACCTTCCAGTGTTTGTGCAGCCTGCGGACAGTTTCTTGCAGACCCTGTTGCTCCTCCTGTGGAAGGATGTCCGTCAGCTCATCACACGCCTTCAAGAACACGCTCAGCAACCGCTGGTCCAGCTGCCCAAAGAAGTCCTGTCCAGAAAACAAAAAAAGATAAAAGAGAGAGAAGCATTCATTAAGTTTCTATTGTTTGCTAGGTCTAAAAACAGAGTGACTTGCAGAGTATTTTCTGTAAGTTTTGCTACTGTAACTGTGCGTCTTTGTGGTCCAGAGAAGATTTAGCAGCCAATATTGTTTTTGTACATATTAGCTTCATGTTTGCCTTTATTTACAGCAGATGTTTTGATCTTACGCTGTGCTTCTTCAGTAATTCTTCAGCATCTCCAGTCTCTCTCAGGCAGCCCTGAGCTTTTTTCAACACTCTCTCCAACTCTTGTCTCGATTCCTCAAACCTCCTCCTCAGGCAGTTGTTGGCCTCCTCCTGCCTTCTCCATTCCCCCAACTCCTTCAGCAAAGCCTGGGAGGACGGACAGTACGTGATTGTAACGGGTCTCTTCGGTAATACAGTGTAATTACATTATTTGTCTTATGCCGCAGTGAGACACATGAGTAAGTCATATCTGCACTGTTGCCTCCTGGGTGTTTTGATGTTCTTGTAATCTCATTAATGTAATCAGCGTTGTGGGTAATGCAGTGTCTGTGTGGCACTCTGGTCTGCGAACATGTCTGTTTCACATTTACCTGCGTCGAGTTCTGTATTTCAGACACTCTCTTCTGAAGCAGGGACAGGTCGAAGTTTCGGAGCACCTTACTGGAGGAGAGCGCCCTCTGCAGAGCGTGGTGGTTCCTCTCGATCACCGACAGACAGCGTTTACAGCTCTGCTGCTGGTTTAACAAATCCTGAAGAAAATGTGGAAAGGACAAATATGGATATGCGTCAATAACGGTGTATTTAAATATGAAAATGTCTTCTTTTAAATCAACAATTGTATTTTAATTGGACAAAAAGGTTACAGTAAAACAAGGTTGGAAAGTTGTAAGATAAATGTGATATAAATAACTGGGAAATGGTAATGTAATGGCTAAAATAGAGACACAATAGTGCATATATGATTATATTTCATTGTACATTTTTACAGCCAGGCTCTCTTTCTATATTTTGCCTTCATTCCTTTTAATACACACACACATTTTAGCCACAAGTCAGAAGACACCTATAAACAGATTATTTTAACCACTTGCTGGATAAAATAAATGATTATAAATGTACCAGAAATATCCATGATTTATGTTGTTTAACTATTAAACTGATGCAAAACTACCAAAATAAGAAAAACCTAATCTTCCTACATACCAGTCAGGCTTTTACCTGGTAACCATTTAAAGTAAATCCTTTCATTGTCATCATATCTTACCTGCCACTTTTGTTTTTGCTGGGTCTGTGTGTCTGCTTCTCTGTCGGCAGAGGTGATGCGACTGGCCCGCTCCAGAGCTTGGTAAAAAGCGGTGATGTGTTTCTCCATCTCCTCCAACAATGGCAGGAGAACATGACACTCCCTTACAAGGGAAGGACACCGCTCTCTCACCTGGAGGAAAAAAAAACAATTAGGGCCTTTAAATAGTGACACGGAAAGTGACAACAAGGGGTGTTGAGAATGTTAAAGGAGGAGTAAGGGTAATTGAATTCCTTTGAAATAAATACGTTTTTTTGACGTAAATGATACCAACCTTACTCAGCTGACTTTTGGCTGTTGCCATAATTGCCATGACCCTGGCAGCCTCATCCTGTGGCGCATCCTTGGCAAGGAGCTGAGCACTGCGGGCAGCCAATTTATATTGTGTCTCCATGGCAACTACCTTTTGCTTGGTATTCTGAGATGAGACGTGGAGGCAAAGGGTCAACTTAGACATCCTTAAATTGAATGCGATTTCATCAAAACAGCTTTTGGCAATAACAACAACAACCTGCAACGAGGTTGTCTGAAGATCTTAGTTTAAAAACAGCAGGGACATAAAGCAAGCAGTAACTCTTCAGCAACAGCTTCAGAAAGCAAGTTCACAAGGAAGTTGACTGGGGAGGATGAGGAAATTATCCTAAATCATCTCAGTTGTCTCTAAAAGAGCTGAACTACGGATTAGACTTAGACAGTACAAATCACAGTTAGGAAACAAGTTAGGAAGTTGGGAACATATACTGATAGTCTATGGACATAAAACACGCTTTTAGAAAATGTAATAGTCATAATGTAATCGTATAAGCTGAATCAACCACAATCCCTGCTTATTAGTGCTATTTTCTTATTATTGCGCTATTCTGACGGTTCTTGCTTTTCTCACCTCCACGTCCTGCAGAAAGGCCCTAACGTTGAGGAAAGATATCTGGACAGGAACATTGAGCTTGACCTCGGCTGTGTCCAGCAGTTCTTTGAGGGCCAACACGGCCTTTAGGTGGTCTTTTCTCCACTTCTCCAACTCGTCTGCATGGGCATACTGCAACAAAGGAGAGAAAATACAACCTGTAGGATTGATTTTATCAAGAGAAGTATCTTTGTTTATCAGACCTAGGGAAAAATGTAACTCTCTTCAAACTGCCAACTTGTAATTTATGTAAAACATTAAATCCACCTAGAAATGTTATTCAACCAAGTTTAGTTTGTTATCTGATAAACAGTATTTAAAGTTGTGTTGTTGAATTGTTGTTGTTTGTTACTTGTTGGACTTTGAGGAAGAGGTCTCTCCATCGTCCATTCAAAAGAAGAAGCTGCTGCTTGAGATCCAGCGATACGGTCTCATCACATGTTTCAATGAGAAAATTCCCTGCGTCGTTCATGGCTGCATGTTGATCCATCCAGTGGCTGAGATCCCTAAAAAACTCCTGGATGAGAGACAGACTCGTTAGAAAGACAAAAAAGAAACTGAGACTAAGAGGAACAAAGAACCACACAAAGAACGAGTGTCAGAGAGGAAACAAAGAAAGCTAATCAAAGAAAGGGACAAAGAAATGAATTCATAAGGAGAAACACAAAAGGACAATAAAGAAAAACTGGGGTAATTAGCCGTCTAATCCTTGGTGGGGATGGGAATCTGAGGTAACCATGGTGATGCGACAACTGGTATATCCTTAGTGGCTTGTTGTAAGTCAAGGAGATAATTTGATACTCGAGTGGAGACTGCTAATAGGATTCCACTTAGAAGACCAAATGCTTGAAATTGGGCTGACGTGGATGTGATTGCTACTACTAGCCCATCTAAGAAATTAATATATAGTCTGACAGGACCCCTAATCTCTTTTTAAAAAAAACTTTAAGAGTGGTGGGGTTTCCTACATCGTTCAGAGTGAATCTCATACCCGTTTAGTGTTTTCCGGCTGGCTCAGGGCTGCCTCTGCGTCCTCAAGCCAGGCCTGTAAGGAGGCCACGGTGGAGCTGTACCTCTCCCAGTTGGACAGCACCTCCTCCAGCATGCTCCTCACGCTGCGCACCTCCATGGACAGACTCCTCCACTGCGCCACCACCTCCCGCATGAACCTGCGCACTCCCATCTCACCCTCATCCACTGGAGGAGAGATAAAACATCAACTACAACGTCAACAATGACATCAAATCAAATGTTCTATTTGTTCAAGACAATGCTGACATTCAGATGCATGTTTTTTTATTACAAACAGTTCAGATTGTTGCTGTTCTAACTCCCTAAAAAGTATTTTTAGAGAATTACAGTTCATTTAGAATACTGTGGACCAGATGTTGACCAATACAGAAAGTAGAGTTCACATCACCCCGAATCTCAAAACAAACTAATTTCCTAAACTTTGCATAATCTAGCATCTTCATATATCAGTGACTTCTTTTCTTTCAATACGATTCTTTTTTATAACCCTGGTTTGATAAGTGGTACATGAAGGCTAATATAGATTATGTTTAGATAGATATTGCTGTGTAACTGTTTTAATGAAGTTAATTTGATGACTTGTGGTCACTTCTGTTAAGCTCACACGACTATATACTATAACTTTGAGATTTGGGGGCATATGGTACGGAGCGTCAAACATATGGTACACATTCAGGGGAAGAGCACATGAAGACTGATGGAGCTACATGCAGACAAATCGCTGACCTCAAAAACTTCCTCTTTAGGGAGATGTCTTTCCATTTCAAGGTACACTAGACGCATTAAAGTAGTACAAGTTATTTACCACAAAATATCATCAGCCAGTGTGGTGAAAATGAATCACTTCACCAAATATAGATATCCAGTTTCAAGTACACATGAATCAGATATTTTCCCACCTTTAAGCCGTTATATACAAATCCCCTTCTCCTGCTCTCCTGCATCAGTTTGCTTTAACCTCAAACTGGGCCCCTTTAAGATATCTGAATGATCTGTTATCCAGCCAATCAGAGCAGAAATTGCAAACCACCAGCAGGGCTCATGCGGGTATGCTGTTGGTGGGGGGCGCTTCATGTGTGGGGGTTGACCAATCAAGCCTCAGATGTCCTGATTTCTCTCCATACCTCACTTCTCCGCTCTGCATACCCTAAAGCAGCACAACCCTGAAACTTAATAAACCAACAGGCGAGCTCAGTTTGCGCCCAGAGACCTGCAGAAGTGGAGCAGCCCCTAACTAGCAAATGGGGTCGTATTCCCCACTGAGAGCTGCGAGTGGAGGAACCTCATTTAGCTGTAGCCTGCAGACTCTCCCCCTCTACCGAGCTGAAAAACCAGACAGGGGCAGACCGAGCTGCTGGAAGAGAAAGCTTCACTGGTGTTTGAGTAGTTGACAAGGGAGAATAAAGTTGACATTTATCTAGATTGTGTAAAACAACCATAACATTTATACTGTGATATCTATCCCTGCTATATCTCTAATTGCATTGCACCAATGTGGGCAATCACGTGGCTTTAATCACTGCATCACTGAGCAGCACTGCTTCACTGAAATATTGGATTTATAAGTAAATTTGGCATCGAAATGATTAAATACCTTCACTTGCCAAGTATTTAATTTGCAAGCCAGTCACAGACATTCCTGTACCTAGTGCATGAATAGGTGTTTAAGTTTCATTTTGATGCATTCAAGATCAAGATATAAAGAAAAAATAATTATTAAAATATAGCTCGATCATAATAGAAATCAGCAGTTCCTAAAAGGAAAATATTTAACAGTTATAAGTAAAAAAAGAGAAAGCTAGCTGTTAAAAATAATGTATGTATAAGTGGTGATTTCTCACCTGAGCTGTCAGCATTGACAAAGGCCTCAGCAGACAGTTTGAGGGACTGGAACAATGCCTCATAATTTTCAAAGAAATGTTGCTTCTCCACAAATGACTGATGAAGACAGAAACAAATAGAACATCTATATAAATACATATGAGGAGACACAGCCGACAGTAACAACATAATAGATATACAGCATAACTGGTAATCATACATTATACACTGTAGCAGGGAAAGTTATTTAGCATGAAATATTGTTTTCACATTTGACTTTTATCCAATAATATATTACAATTACACAATAGAGGAATATACTTTTCATGATTTTCATCATTTAAAATGTCAGCACAAAATGTATAGAGTGAACCAAAGCCGGAGCTTACAATGTAGTTGTGGAGCATCACTGCCACGGACTCTTGTCGGCCATATTTGATGATCCAGGACTTGAGCTTGGACTCGGTTAGAATGAGGAAGCCCTGCATGTGGTGTTTGTTCTCCAGGAACTCCATTTGAGACAAGTGGATGCTAGAAGATGTAGAAACAAAGTTCATCCTAAAAAAGACAATATTCACAAAGATATTAGACCTACGGCTTGACCCTCAAATTCTACTTTACACTTCAGACTGTAAAACCATACCAAATAAGATCGACAGGCGTCTTAATTACCTCTCGGCCATGTCTTGGAGCTGGTCTGGGGGAATAGGGACTCCATCAACACTTCTGTCTTTATGGATCCTCTGAAATACCTGCTGGTGTATTTCCAGGCTCTTCAACACATCCTGCACAGTGTAAATATACATGCACACTGAATAACAAATACTTATAGAGACTAAACAAAAAGGTTTCTGATAAGTACATTTTAGAAGCTAGTGGTGTACTGCTCACAAGAGTGAACATAACATATGAAATGAACAGGGAACCCATCATTAGTTTTTGTCGCATTTGGCCTCTGTCTATGTCTGCATGCTAACCTTGTGCTGCTCCAGAGCCCTGTGGACAGTGGCAGCGGTCACGTCGTGCGCCTGATGGACGATGATCTCTTGTTGCAGAGCTCCCTCCGCCTCATGCAGCCACGCCCCCACCGAATCCAGAGGAGCCGGCAGAGACCTGTCCAGCTGCAGGTGCCAGTCCAGGAGCTGAAATAAGGAGTTGAAGAGACAATCAGAGGAACACTGTGAGTGGATTGTGAATGTACAGTTCATGGCACAACAATAACAACACGATAAAACACATGCAGCAGTGACATTCTTGGTTCAGTTCTGGCTGGAAACTTTTAAGGAGGTTTGTACTCTCCGGCTGCTCTCACCCTATTAGAGGCTCTTTCCCAGGCCTGTTTGACCAGAGCCTGATCCACAGTCAGCATCCCATCCTTCTGAGTGGACTGCAGAGCCCCCTCCACCTGCTTCCTCCTCATCTCCACCTGGACATGCAGACTCTTGAACAACTGAAAAAAAGTAAAAGTGTAGTCTGTGTTTGATTTACAGATCCACAAATATTTATGTTACAGAATACAGACATCGAAACTAAGTGCTTCCTATAGGAGTCACATTGCCTTCAGACCCTCATAAAATATGTGGCTAACTGCCTCCGTTTGTCCTTCTTGCTGGCTTCAGGTTGCCAGACTCCTCTGAATAATGTGCAATGAAAATGGGGGTATCCCACATGCTGCTCAATATGGAAAGTATCCCGAGGCTTGGCGGCATAAACCAGATTGACTGAAAATATTACGGCTGCCGTCTGATCCCCACAGTGTAATGCCACTGATTAAGCTAATAATAGGAGCGTCTGTGCCCAGTGTGCCCAGTTTAAACAGTGCACACACAGACATGCATGCATGCACACACACACACACACACACACACACACACACACACACACACACACACACACACACACACACACACACACACACACACACACACACACACACACACACACACACACACACACACACACACACACACACCACACACACACACACACACACACACACATCACACACACACACACCACACACACACTACACACACACACACACAACACACACACACACACACAACACACACACACACACACACACACACACACACACACCACACACACACACACACACACACACACACACACACCCACACACACACACACACACACACACACACACACACACACACACACACACACACCACACACACACACAACACACACACACACACACACACACACACACACACACACACACACACTAACCTGGTACTGTTGAGTGAGATTGCCCTCAGTCTCCTGAGCCTGTATAGCGTCTCTCTCCAGCTGGTTGAGACACATTTTGAGCTCCCTCAGGCTCTTTCGCTGCTCTCTCTAGGAGGCCGGGATGGGTGAGGGGTGGCGGGGTGAACAACGGGTGGAAAGATACATATGAAAATTAGGAAGTGCAAAGGGGAAATGAAAACCAAAAAAAGACGGAGGGTAAACCAGAAAGATGGAGTGGCAAAAGTAGTAAACCAAATAGATTTTTGAGGGATTGATGAAAGGAAGAGGGTAAAAGAGAGGGCATGTGCTGTTAAACATGTTCTCCTAATCCTCTGCTTCTCCCTGTAGGACAAAATGTCAAAAATCCACAGCTGCCAAAAACACTCAGCTTAAACAGGGTACTTTGTCGGAGACCCCCTACTAACATTTCATTGGATTTTAAGTTACCATGACGATAATACTATGCTGCTCAAAAGCTTGCCAGATTGTCTATTGAGTTTGAGAGCTTTTCCTTTTCACTCTATTCAGGTATAATACTTGCTGCATTTTACAACCAGGTTTGTTTATCTTCAATTTTGTTGTTTTTATATCACAAGAGCCAGTTGACCTTCATTCAATACAAGAGAATATTCAGGACACATATTAGCATGTTAGCAAAAACTGCCAACAAATACCAAAGCAGGTGTAAGACACAACAACCACAAAAAGCATAAACAGTGATGAAAAACAACAAAACACATTGTAACACAGAAAGTGAGTGGTTAGTGGCATCACTGTTCCCAGCACCTTAAAAGAGGCAACCTCTTTTCGCAAGCTTTCCATCAAATATGCTGTATCAATGCACACTGCCAATGCCAGAGGCTTTCATTGTCATGCTAATGGAAACCAGGAGCCATAGCGGGAGGTAACATTAATAAATGGTAATATCATGTCTTATTATACCGGACTTCCTTTTGTTATCAGGGCCCGGAAACCCCACGGCAGGAATATCACATCAGGTAAGATAAAGAGCTGATATTAGCTACAAAGGCTCTGCTTTGACATGGGGAAAAAACAATGTTTAATCTCATCCATAAACTGTACAGTAGGCAGTGATACTGTAATCCAATAGCAGAGCCAAAAAAATAAACCATAATCACGTTTATATGGAAACCATGAACGGGCATGGGTGCTAATTGCCTTGAGCTGCATAATATGATGGAAAACTTGCCCTTGGGACCTCGAAGTTACTCTTTTAACCTACCTGCAACATTTCCTCTATATCGCGAGGAGCAAGACCCTGCTGTAGGACAGAGGCCCGCACAACAACCACAGGAAAGAAGTCACCACACAAAAACACCAGAGAGACAAAGACAAGGAGAGACACGAAGAGAGAGATGTGCAACACGGAAAGACACAAAATAGGCTAGACACTGCCTGACCTGAGTCACATGACAAGTCAAATTACTATTTGTTTTAACCTTCTGTAAAAACCAGATAAGTCCTGGTTCCTGCATTGTAGAAAATATTAAGTAACTATACCAAAGTGTAATTCACTTTCTGAAATGTTACTATAAAAAAGCCTTACCAACATTTATGGATAGGAGGATATAGTATTTTCATTGCAGATTGTGACGCCAACACTAACAGTTGATAGTAAACAGTATAATCCTAGTTTTCTACACTAACTGTGACATCTGAAGGGAAAGACAAAACAAACAGGATGCAGTATGAAGGATAAGAATGAAAGACGTATTCAGACTGAGATAAATGTGACAGCTGGTTACCTCTTCGTCTGGCTGTCCGTCTGCGTCGCTCTGCTCTCTGTCAGGATGATGCTTCAGGAACTGAGCTACGTATGTCATAATGGATTTCTCATCTGGCTTGTCTACGTCAACATCTAAGGAGGGAACCAAATTAATTTCATCAGAAGTCATATCAAGTTAAGGCCAGCTGTTCATTCTTTCCACAGTTTTTCTCAAAGGGGAAAATAACTGTAATTTATTAAAATATGTTTCACAGACATCTCTTCACAAATAGCTGCCACCTCAAATGAAAACAACCTTGAGCATGAGATCAGCGGCCAAGTTTTGTTTTTAGGTTTCCCACCATGCTGAATCTCATGGCCTAATGGACCTTAATTATATTGATGTCAAGCTTGATTTGTTAGAGTTCATTCTGAAGGGCAGGCGTGGCGGGGCACAGCTGGTGATTGGAAGTAAACTGAGGTGCACATCTGATGCTGTGATACATGCCTGCTAATGTATTTCTGTAGTCTGGGGGACAAACAGCTCTATATGATGAAAAGGCAGGGATTGAAATGATGTGTAAAATAAGTACGGTCTTATTATTTGAGTAGGTAACACAAATTATGACGTTGTTTTCCTATAAATACAACATAGCAAAGACAAAGGAAAAGGCAATATAGGCAAATTACTTCAATGTATTTGACCCCATGATGCTGTGGACATATTGTTAGCTGTTCAGTTCATTTCCAAAGACAAAGTTAGTAAGAAATGCGATTAATTTACCCTCTGGGTCGAGAAGTTGAGGGACACCCAGCTCTTTCTCAGCCAATGAGAAAGCTTCCTGTAGATTTTCTCGGTTGGGCCTCCTCCATACACGCTCCATGTCGACTAGATTGGGTCGAAGGGCATTGATAACGGCAAAAAATGCTAACCCTGTGCGCCAACTGGGCCCAAAGTCCTTCACCTCCAAGCCCAAACGTCTACAAAGAACAGAGAATCACAACATCAAAGCAGATGAGAAAAAGCACAAAATGGTTCCTTTGCATATTTAGTTCTGAAAATAGGACACTTAAATAAGGGAGGTGACATACTTGGTGGCTGTGTGCTGGACCCATTTTAGCAGGGCCTTTCTGACTCCGCCCTGCACAGGTGGGAGGGGTTTTCTTTTGACCGGTGGGCTGTGGGTCTCAGTGCTGCTGGTGGAGCTGTCCATTGAAGAAGTGCTGCTGGACACGGCCTGTAATGCTGGTAAGCTACAGGTTAGCTCCTCAATCTGAAAAGATGGGAAACCATAAAGAAATCAGGCCAACATAAGTGCACAATTTCTCCAGAATCATTTTATATCTTTAGTTTATTCATTATAATGCCTGCCTAAGGCACACTTAAGCTCAATTATTGTGATTGCAGGGACGTAATTATTGTCTTTGTTTGGTTTAAGCAACTCATGCAGCTCACGTCCTTCAATAATACACAGCAAGTATAAACATACACATTAGTCATCAAGTGGCTTCTCATTTGATGTAGCTATTATTGAACAGAATATCAATTTGGTTGACAAATAATGACATAATAACCAACATCCTTGATGGTACCATCCATGTGTGGCAAAAAAACATTACTAAACACATGTGTAAAATGGGACAACAAACACAAAGGGTATTATTAAACTTCAGCCTAGCCAGACGTTCAATTGGTAAAGATGTATTGCTTTCCACACATAATCTACTTCTCAGCTTCTCTCACACTGCCAAAACTGAGGCTGCTCGTAATTTAGAAAATCCATAAATATCAGTATGAAATTAAATACATCAACATGTCAGTAAGTCATTTTCGACAGTTGTACATTTCCTTTATTTAATATCTGTATGTTAGCTGGTACAGCAGAGAGCTCTGTGCTGATGCTGCTTAGTGACTGTAGTGTTGTGATTACGTTTTTGTTGATCTGATCATGTCTGTAATTCCTGAGGTAGCAACTGCTCGATTTCAGTGGAGCTTCAGAAGATTGATTTTCTCATCTTAAATGTCTTTTTATATTTCTACATATAACTTGATGGGAAAAGATGGCATGCAGCCTGCTTTCCTAATAAGTACAACCAGTTTACAAAACTAATTACGTTTTCTGCATATTTTATATTGGATGGTGGTTTGAGGATGTTCCATTAACATGCCCATTAAATATTGGCAGTAATGAAGTTCTAGAGCTTTTTGTGGTGATTTCAAATAGACATTCACAACACAAAATGTGGCTACCAACACTTTCCTTCTCCTTGTTTTGTCTTATTCTTTCATTTTGTGGAATCCTAAATGATATACATTGCATTCAATTATCTGATTTATAACATAACTAACTAAAAGTCTATTATACCTGGAAATAGAGGATGATTGTCCACATCAACCCCAATACAATTGACGGCCGTCCATCGACAATGTCTGTAGAGTTGATGTTCACAAGCTTGATCTGTGTCAAAACAAGATATCCAATAGTTCAATATCTCACAACAGGACCTTTTTAATTACAGATTGCAATCAATTCCAGTATATCCGCTTACATTTTACTTTAATCTCATACATAGGGATTCATTACACAACATTGCCCTATCTATCTGGTAACTTTTATTATCTTAACCCTATCTATGCCATGTCCTGAACAAACCAGTGCAGTAACGTAATGAACACTGACCGGAGATCCTCTGTAGGCAGACTGGAGGGCAGATAAGGAAAGGGGAAGATAGAAAGAGAGAGAGATCATTTAGATGCATTTGATTCAAAACATACAGTAGCATCTCTGAGGTGAGATAACTTGAGTGGTTAGCTGGGAGGAGAGATATATCGCCCCTACGCAGGCAACAGGGATTATATCCAGCAGAGATTGACATAGAGAGAGGCAAGAAAAGGGAGAAAGAGAGGGCTGTATCTACTGATATGATGAATTATTCTATATGATCATACTGAGGGTTGTATTACTGTGTCGTGCAGCACAACAGGTCATCATGTGGTAATGCAAGCCCCTCCGTGGACATATGTGGACAGACATGGGAGAGGAGATTGGGGGCAGAAAGGGCAGCATGGGATATTGGCTGATAAGAATACATGCAATACATGATGTTATATTAGAAAACACAGCAGGTCATCCCAGCACCTCGACACAGCAATGTGAAGTGGAATGGTTAATAGAAGTGTTTGTATGGTGGCCCTGAAAGCTCATTACAAGATAAAATGCACATGCAAACAAACTGTTTGTTAAACATCTTTACCATTTAGACAACGCATGTGAATAATTCAAAAAACATCTTCACCAACTGATTTATCTACTCAAGGTTTATTCAAGTGGATTTGGTAGCCGTCTTTAAAATGTGGAAGTTCTGACCAAATTTCAAGTGATCAGCAAGTTCCTCTCACAGGAAAAGCTGTCTAAGCAAAAGCAGTTTTGCAGAGTGAACCCGTACAATTGAAGCTGCTCTGGTGGACATACTGCAGCTCTGTAATCTCTTGACAACACATGCAGAGCAATTTAGAAAACATCTGCACCAACAACACAAAAAAACATCCAGTTGACGTCACAGCATGCAGCTCTTATTGTTACAGTTTGCGGCTTATGAATGAATGGAAGTCGGATAGTTGACTTTATTTACAAACATTTATGCTAACGAATGGTTTGAGTCGATTGTAAAACTAAGATGCAAACCATTTGATGGTCCGCGCTTCTCAAAAATGAAGATTTAGACCAGAATTGGTCTGATTTTCTTTGGATTATATCAGGAGAAAGTGAAAGTAGTCAGACAAAATATAGATTTTTCAGTATTTTATGAGATTTTATGGTTTACATATTAATCCAAAATACATTCATCTCCAATGAACATTATTGTTAGGTGTTTAAAACTCCCAGATTATATTACAGTCAACAAGGCAGCAAAGTGATTCGCCCTCTAAAGCAAAAATGTAAATATGGTCTAGACATACATCAGATTTATACTGAGCATATGTACATTTCATTTTTTCTACACACAGAGATTTAGACAGTCAAACACACACAGAGTGCCCACTGACGTCTCATCTCCAGACTGCAGATTAATGGTGTAGGATTTACGGTTTTAACCCTGTCACACTTGAGGAAGACAAATCAATATCCCTGCAGCAGCTCATACTTATGGCTTTATTTATGCATATTTAAGGAATAGCTGGTGGGAGCTTGGAAAAGATGTTCCTAATCTCACAGAGGGGCAGTAGATGCAGTTAAATGATTACATCCAAAACCATATTGAGCATTTTGGAAAGTAATTCTGTAAATAAGGCTCGGAAAATACTTAAATCAAAGCAGTGTGGGATGTCTAGCAAAATATGTGGATTAAAAAGTCCAATAATTCCTTTTTTTATATATTTTATTAAGGCAGACAAGCAAATACATTACAAATTATTAACAGCCATAATATAGCAAGGTCTTTGTTTGAGTTTCAGAATTCTGCTTATTTATTTACATTTTAAAAACCTTGAAAAACAGAGAATGTTGCTTTCGGGATAAATGCGGGCTGTGGTAAGATGGAGAAACGAAGAAGCGGGGATGAAGGGGAAACGGGTCACACAAGGTCAGGATGCAGTGTTTGCACCCACAGGGCAACAGCTGAGCAGGAGGGGGGGAAGCATTGAAGAAGAAAAAAACATAAAAAGAGACCCTGAACTCTTACCTTCCTACCCTCGAGGAAGTTTAGCGCTGTACCGATGTTGGCGACCCAGTGGATCCTCTTTAGCTTCTTGCCTGGCTCGCATGGCTGGAAGGAAAAAGGAGAACAATGGGAATTGGAAATAGAGAAACAGAGAGGGAAAGAAAAAAAAATGATATTGTGCGGATGAAAGAAGATAAGCTCCAGTGTGGGAATAACGGTCGGGAAGCACAGACATTATTCCAGATTTTCTGAAGTCTTTTATTTGTGTTTGCTAAGACAATGAGAAGGAACAAGAGTTTCAATCAGAGCAGTGTTTGACTATAAAGATTTGGATCAATACGACAGACAGCTTAGACCTTAGGCAATATTGGTCGGGTAAAATCCTCAGGCGGTGTGTGTGTGTGTGTGTGTGTGTGTGTGTGTGTGTGTGTGTGTGTGTGTGTGTGTGTGTGTGTGTGTGTGTGTGTGTGTGTGTGTGTGTGTGTGTGTGTGTGTGTGTGTGTGTGTGTGTGTGTCTTTGTCTGTGCTGTGAACTCTGATCCGTCCTTGTTAATCTGGGTTTTTCTATTCAATTCAAACTAATAAAAGCCGATCAATGGACATTTCCATGTTATTGTGGCCAGTTCACATGCACTGCATTCAGTATGTGGCTTTGTTTAAAACACTTGCAATCAATCAATCAATGTTTATTTATATAGCCCAATATCACAAATGTTACATTTGTCTCAGTGGACTTCACAGTTTGTACAGAATATCAGTATGACAATACTACACCCTCTGTCCTTAGACCCTCACATCGTACAAGGAAAAACTTCCAGAGAAAACCCACATTTTAAAGGGAAAAATGGGAGAAACCTCAGGGAGAGCAACAGAGGAGGGATCCCTCTCCCAGGACAGACAGACGTGCAATAGATGCCGTGTGCAATATAGCAGGTGCCCTGACTTTCATTATTTTAGGAAAAACAACCAAATATAATCTGTTCCGTGTTATATCAGCTCACATTAACAGTAATCCAAGGAGATCAGTGGAAATGAAGTGTTATAATTATGTGGCCAAATCACATGCTGTAGAAATGATTGTGAGACTCACCAGTGTTTGTCCAGAGAGTACTTCCAGCAGGGCCAGCAGCATCACGCCATCCTTTATGTCCTCAAACAGGTCCGTCACCACCAGAGGCGGGACACGCTGCATCACAAAACAAGCATACCCATGAGACTTTATTGTAAAAACGTTTTTTACTTTAATCTTTTCAAACAATATGCTAAAACAACAAATACGATAATGATGTAATGCCTGGGGTAATGGTAGAGGTTTTGGTTTTTGACATTTAAAAGCTATAAAAGAAGAAAAAAAACAATGTTTATGTTTGCAAAAGACAGTTATAAATAAAAGGTCTGCTGCCCGGGCTTAACAAGTTAAATTGTTTTTGTTGTTTATGTAAACGTTGCATGGCATAAACCCAAAGAAAGGTTTCTCAGTTTTCCTGGAATGCTAAAATCTGGGATTTAAAACTTAATAGCTCTCGCAATGTACATGAAACTATGAGGCAAGAAGTGTTTTTCCGAACATGATCCTAAGTGGCACAGCGCATAAATAAACCAGAATACCATAAATATATTACATTGTAAGACATTAATTTGAACTTGTGAAACATGGATAAAGGAAATCCTCATGAAATGTACTCGAAGCCCCAAAAGAGTTTGGCTGTGCCGAGTATTACTGACAGCTATACTCAGGCGTAAAGCAGGGGCTCAGCAGGCTCTGAATGGGGTCCTCAAATCCTAAAATATGCTGATGATTTCAAACTGCATCCTGCTCATTGACTTCCTCCCTGACCTGACACAGACTTCTAGACTCGGGGAAATCCACATATCTCTGTTTCTTGCAGGCGCCACATCAAGGATTTCTCTTAAAGTACAGTCACATGCCGGGGCTGAGGAGAGGTTTAGGGGGGGGGGGGGGGGGCGTTCAGACGAGTGAGCCATTCACAGGGAGATTAACAGCAAAGGAGAAAGAGAGAAACGGCTAAAGCAGAGATGAATGAGTGGAGGGGGAAATAATTGAGTAGAAAAGAGTGGCAGCGAGAAAAATGATGGAAGCCTAAGAGAGAAGAGACACTAACCTCACGCCTTTCAAAATTAATTAGCAAATACAGTAGCTTTTCTCGCTAATTCCTCGTCTAATGTCATTTCATGGATTTGGATATTAGAATATGCAGACAGCACTTGTGCCCATATCATAAACTGTCAGAAGAAACACTTACAAAGACCCCTTCAAAGGGATAGATTATACCATGAGCTAACTGAAGTTAAATGTACCTATTTGTTCATTATAATCCCAAAGCTAATGAGGACATTTCGGACTAATTACAAAATAATAAAGTAATATCCATTTCCTCTGCTCAGCCACATGAGCTAAAAAAAAATGAATCAAGGCCTTAATGAGCTAATTACATATGTGTGTGTCTGGGCCATAATTGATTGTGAGGAGAGGAGTTTCAGGACGTCTGTCTGCGCTCTCATGTTGTTCCCCTGGTACGACGGACTCAGTCGATTCCAAAAGATCAACAGCATGGTTCAGACACAAAGAGAGACTGAAGGGTTTCACTCTGAACTGCAATACATACAATTTGAAGGGAGTATTGACACCAGCTCCCTATCGTCCAATTATCTTGAATGTATGGGTAATGTATTTGCCAGCTTCTCAAATGGCATTATATGAATGCAAAAGCAAAAAACAAATTATAACTTTAAGAATCATAGTGACATTATCCTTTGGGGAAAAAAACCCATATAAACTTTTTGCACAGGATGAATGGATCTTTACAATACTTTGGCATTTAACAAGAAAGCCATCCTGTGGAAATGGCTGCAGTCAAATGCTGCAGCAAGGGATGACTAGACTCAAAATGTCAACAACAAAAAATGGTATGAAAAAAAATTGACCTTTACTTTAAGATTTAGATACAAGCAATGTGGAAAATACTGGAAAATGTACAAAACATATGTTGCATCCATACTGTAAGTTGAATTGTCAACCTGAACATGACTGTTTATTCTACAAGGGGGGTAGGTCATGCTCTTGTTTATTGAGGACAAAAGAAGGAGTGTGTTGTATGCTGCTGTAGATGCCTATGTGTCTTTTCGCAAAGTAAATAAATGAAGGTTTTTCTACACCTAAAATGCTTTTGCAGTCCGAGTGGTGTAACGCAGCCTAACAGCTATTTCCTAATACATATGTCATTCAAACACCCCTCCTACTAGTATGCTAAAATATATATAAGTAAATGCTTTTATTCTATAATTACCATTATGGGTCCTACATCCAATTTGACATAATTTCTTATTTTTGATGGGTAATAAAACACAGCGATATTAGCAGCTCTGTGAGGCTGTTCTTAGGCGAAGTAGTGATTAAAGCTAAATACTAACTTCACAATGCAAATTCCGAGAGGTTTCGCAAGTTTATTTTTTACTGTGTTTTTAGTCTTTTAGTTTAGTGCTAATTAGCCCTAAACACAATATACAGATGACGCTGATGGGAATGTTTTTTATTTAGTAATAAACCAAAAGGTTGGAGTTATTGCATTTCATCATGATGGGAACATTCATTTCCGTACAAAATGTCACAACAGTGGAGAAATATCATTCATAAGAAATGTCTCCTTCATGGTGATGCTAGAACAAAAGCCAGATGATCTTTAAAGTCATTAGGATTGGGAACCATCTGGGAACCATGAATGTCTGTACCACATTTTTACCCATCAAAATAAAAACTAAGAGGCTGAAAGGATAGTTTGCAGGTGTAGAATGAAACAATTATGGAAAACATCCATGCAGCTTAAATTGGCTGAGGCACACACCATGTATCATGACGAGTTGGGCTTGAATTGAGTGAGCATGGAGTATGTCAGCCACTCAATCCCGCTCTTCCCCCACCAAAGAAAAAAGGGGGAGCAGGGAAGTAAATAGTGATAGAGGAGCGGGGAGCTTTACTTTACTGCTGTGGTAATCTCTAAGAACACTTGGTTCACTGATTACTCTACTGGTGGAAAACGAGTGGGCGCAGATGAGACCTCAGCTGCTCACACCGGTCACTCAGTAATTAAGCTTTCAACTTCTCAGAAGGATTTGTCAAAATGAAAACTTGGGGGCCCTCTCTCTGAATTCACCCCCTTTGTCACTTTACTACAGTGCAGGATGTGACTTTAAAGCCTGTGAACCAAAATTCTACCATTCTGGGCAATATTGAAGCAGTATTATTTAATAAACTGTGCAATTGCGGGGTCTAACAGCTTCACCTTCTATTTAAAACGAAATAAAAAACCTTCAAATGTAGTGCTGCTCTTTTAGAGCTTATATATTTGGTCTAAAACTGGTGGCTTAATCTGTTGAACTACTCCCGGGTAATGAGAGTCATTAATCTTCTGTATAAATTACCAGCTCCAATATGTCCTCTCATAGAAAGTCTTTGTCAGAGCTCAAAATATTTCTTTTGTTATACCTGTGGAGTGGAAAAGTAAGGGGGAGGGGAGTGAAAGTGAAAGGAAGCCCCTCATGCCACGTCTCAACTCACCTAACGATTAATCACATACCTTTAGGCGCTGAATTAAAAGACCTGTGATAACTGGAGTGGCCTAATCATCTGCATAGCCGAGGGCATGATCTATCCTTCTGAGAGCAAAGCAAAACCAACTGTTTAAGCTTCTGTCTGTCTCTCTCACACAGTTTCTCTCTCTTTAAATGGGTCTTTGTAGATAATCAACACATGTGAGACAAGCCCAAAAGATGCCATTTCATCTGTATTGGTTAACAAAAATAAATGTTAAAGAATGCAGCTTCTTATTTCAGCAGATCCTCCGCACCTGCTGATTTGACTTTTACACACCGCTACTCATCATCAAAGCTCTCCGAACATTTACCAAGCTGCTGTGACTACCCAGACATTTTTTAAGACAAATGTGGGCCAATCAGTGTCACTATGGCAACGTCAGGCATCAGGTGAAAGGGTAAGCAGTTTCATAATGGTCGGGGAGGAGGAGAGCGACTAATTTGATAAGAGGGAGAAGAGGGGAACAAATACTGTTATCTCCTCTGATTGGCCAGTGTGATAGTATCAGTAATCTATTGATTAGCTGAATCGGTTCATTTTAGGAAATTTAAATGTAATTTGCCGAATCTTTGTCAAACCAGCTTATAGGGACTTTGTTGCAGGAGTTGGGCTTCAGTCTAAGGTCTACTGGTCCTACAAAACTTCAGGTTAAAATAATAGAAGCGTTGGACATTCAGTAGTATGCTTTTTTGCTTTCTTGCTGAGAATTAGTTGAGAGGATCGATGCCAATGTCTGTCGGGTCAATATGAAGCTGAGACAAGTAGATTGTATGGTTAGCACAAACACTAGAAACAGGATGGGGAGCTGAAGGTAACACAATCCCCTGTACTTCTTAAGCTGAAACAATAACACACACACGTTCCTGTTTGTTTAACAAGTATAAAAACGTATGTGCAAATTTAACATTTCGATATTCTACACAGCATGTGACTCCGGGAGGTCACCAATCACAGCAAATAAATAGTTTGGCCGATAACCTCTTCTATAAATTGTCGTATTTCCACTTCTGCTTTTGGGTGGATTCATTAAGATGTAATCTGTTAAATTTGTCTTAATATGCTAAACTACGACCCAGAAGCCATCTTTATATTTACCATTAAAAGTAAGAGTGGTGATAATCTCCTCATTAAACTCTGGGCAGTAGCAATTAGGTGCATTTTGCTAAATGTTGGAATATTCCTCAACACTTTTTAATCCAGACAGTTTGGAGATCCCACTGCCTGGTATCCCTCTGAATACTGTCATCCCCTAATCACTCAAATCCCAACATGTTCAACAACCATGCAATTGGACTTTGGCTCTTCTCTATTGCGTAAAAATGATACAATAAATAAACTATGTGCTTACCTCAACGCTATAAAAAATTCAAGTATTGGACTGTTTGTAATTTTCTGCCGGCACGGTTTTGGGACATGATATTTAATATTACGTCAAGGTTTATTCCCTCCAGAGTGCATTTCAAATGAATGTTCTGCTCCACATCACCGCGGTCCAAGGCCTCCATGGCTGTCATAATCAAATAGGAAGCCTTGAAAGGAGCGTTGCAGATTAAAATAGCACCTAATTGTGTTGCACTGTGCCATATTTGCCTTGTCCACCCATTCCTGACACACTATTCAAGCAGTAATGGGTTAAATTGAGGAGCCTAATGCAGTATAATACAATAATTACACATGTGCGGTGGGCCCTCGGCATCCAGCTGCATCAAGTGTAATTGTTTAGTAAAAGTGACAGATATACTGCTATCTACGCTCATTGAAGAGGCAAATGAAGGACAGTCTTTGACTAAAAACCCTTATCCTGAACCATCTAAATTAGCCCATATTGAGATAGAGAGCTTACAGGTTACGAAGACTGAAATTATTGACAGTAGCTTGAAGGAAAAAAAGATATGCCGTGTATGAAATGCTGTCATGTGAAAGTGGTAATTAGAGTGAGAGTAAATCCTTGCTACAAGCTACAAGAGATTGGAGGAATAAAAAGAAATATGAAAGGCATGCAAGTGAGAGTGGGGTGTGTCTGAGTGTTTTTGTGTGTGTGAGTGTGTGTGTGGTCTTAGCACAGTCAGTCCCATGACCAGCTCCAATGCGTGTTATGGGAAAATGGAGCAAATGTCACAGAGAGAACAGTGGACAGAGAAGAGAAGAGCGAAGTGAGTGGAAGTGGAAAAGCAATGAGATGTTTTAAATCCACACTCCAGCCCCAGTGTTTGGGTAAAGGGACACACAATGCTGGTAGCAGCAGTGGGAATAAACGAGACTCTCTTACCTTTGCCAAGTGGGAATTGATCCATTTTGTGAATGTCCTTTTCTGCACAGCCTCCTGCTCATCTGTAAATCAGAGCCCAGAGCATCACTATCAGTCACATGCAATAATAAACAAAGACGGGATTAGAACACAATCTTCTCATTGTCTATTGTTTACAGAGTTTATTTTGGGTTTGCAGCGCTGGATGGTGACTCTAATTAACTTTGATAATATTACGGTCCGTCTAATGTGTCTGAACCTAGTCGCACCGCATCATACCATACAAAGATATGGTAAGAGCAGGCATTTGACATTTATGCTAGCTGGACTCCTCTTACAGTGGAAACAAAATCCGGCTCTCAAAAGTGCCCTTTAGATGATAAAAGGGCTGTTCTCCTTCACATATGATGACATGTACCTCTGCCACGATCTACAAGAGGGTATATTCAATTTCTGCTCTACAGTTCAAACATGCAATCAGTTTATATAATGTCTACCTTTCCCCTAATGTACTGGTTAACCTACATTTGTGGAAGTACATTGTTTGTGGTCGCTACAGCGATAAAGCCCATTTAGCTAAGGCACAATCAATAACATAGATATCTGCTGACCATGTTCCCTAAAAAGCCACTTAACTTAAATGAGGACTAGATATAAATCAAACCTTGTCTCGCACATGTGCTCAAGCAAACATTTGGTTCATACAAACACACAAAGGCAAACACAGTATAGAGATAGTTTTAATATTGTATATGTTCTGCAGGTTTTTTAGAAGCAACCACTGCTTTACTGCTGTAATATTTTCTTCCTGATTCCCTTTTGACAGCGAGATATATTGTTGCTTGCAACCCATGCAATAACAATTGGGACTTCTGCAATGGTTACATATGTAATCAACAAATTCATGTGCAGCTGCCACATGAATCCCATTAGATTGTGCACGGACAAAATGTATAGTCTGCCTGGGACTCCAAGGATCCAATCATGTACAGTGACTGGCACGTGTGACAATGTGTTTTTTTCTGACCCATCTGCGCAACAGAGCAATATCCTTGAGATAAGCATGTTATCAGCGAGAGAGGACGTCTGACGCAGTGCTTTCCTCCACCTTAATGAAATATGCTGACGTTCTGATTGCACGCAAGTTGGTTAGTGTGCCACTAGGTACTGTGGGCAGATGTGAACAGTGAGGGAGGGGGTGCAACAGAGAGGTGTGTGTGAGGGGGGGGGTTTCATACATAATGCAGATACATTCACGTAAAGTCATACGTGCCACTGAGCAGATCCCGGCTCGATGAATTAATCTTTTGATTGGGTCCAGGAGGTATCAAATATTGATGGGAGCTGATATTGGATGAGAATGAGAAAGATTTAGCCCCCACATCCTGGAGCAGGAGCATGTGTGTGTGACGGTGATCATGTCTGCAGGAGCGTGGTGCCAGTCTCTCAGTCTCAGGGACGAGGTGACTTTGAACCACACACACACAATCGCACTTAAGCACACACACTTTCACATTCTTTCAATATCACAAAGGGGGAAACAGCCGTCCTCAAAAACCGAGCCTCGCAACAGCATTTTAACACACTTGACTAGTGTTGGCCTGTATCATCATTAGTCTCATCCGCAGCCCCGGAGTTCCCACTTTGACCCCCCACAGTGTAGATGACCATAATGAAATATCATTAAAATCTAGTTTGTTATCTCAGAGGCTGTGCCAAGACATAAAGCAACCATTCTAAGGCATTCACAGTTTTGCTCATAGAATAAGATAGCTTATGTGACAGGAGAAAAATTCAAAGACACATTATGGTAATATCTGGTGCAATCTAATCTATCATGACAGTGAGGCATTGAGAGAGAATGCTAAATGCAAGGTATCCATGTACAGGTGGGCAGACAGGCGCACTGCCACAGGGTCAAACAGAGAGATAAGAAATCTAACGTTTTGACAGTCTGCCCAGAGAGCTGTGACACACGCAGTGAACTGGTACTCGTCTGCTTCACCTGCTGTAGGCTCAGAGCTCAGCGACCTCCGCACACACACAGACGACAGACACACACTCTGCCATAGTAGAAACGCCCCCTTGAAATGTCTGCACATTTTGCTTAACACAAACCCTGTACACAGCTAACAAAATCTCCCCTGCAGGGAACACTTCGTAATGAAATAACACTGCAAAATGCACAGGCTCACATACAGCACGCACACACAGTCCATACTGCAGTGCCATGCTAAAACACACACAGTATACCCTACCACACATGCAATATAAACACACACTGCCAGTACGTACTTCTTTTTCTCACACTCTCGACTCACATTCATACAAACTCTGTCCCACTTACCACGGAGGTAGTGGAAGAAGCCCGTCACCAGGTTGAGCGATGTGTTCTTTTTCGGGGAGCCTTCGCCCCCTGCTCGTCGTGCCATATTGTACCCCGGACTACACCTCGAATCCAGCCTGTTGTCATGGGGCTGATGAGAGGACATCCACGGCAACCTGGTAGGGCTACACTTGCCCTTGCTCCTGCCCTTGCTGCCTCTCCCCCTTTTTTGGGGAGGTGTCTTTAAAGAGCTCCCTGGAGCACTTTACCTCCAGAGATGACAGCGTGGTGAAACTGTTGCTCTGTGGCAAAGCAGGGAGAAGGTTTGACCCTCCTGTTCTCTCCTCGTCTTGCTGTCCTCTGTCCTGCAGTAGCTGCCCGGCTGCAGACTCAGTCAGACTCTGTGTTTTTCCTGCCTGTTAAGCAGCTTGGTAGTGCAATGTGTGTGTGTGTGTGTGTGTGTGTGTGTGTGTGTGTGTGTGTGTGTGTTAGAGCAGTGCAGTGTCGGCTTGCCTCAGCATCAATCTTTCTTGCTCAGTCTCTTTCTCTCTCACTGTCTCTCTTTCCCTCTCACACTCTCCACCTCTGTCTTTCCCTCCCACGTTCTCTCTCGCTTTCTCCCTCTTAATTTCTCACTGTAGGCTGCGAAACAATCCACCGGCCAGCCAATCGGAGTGCGTGGGAATGAGTGATGTCACAGCAGCCCCATAGAGGGAGAAGTGAGTGGATAGGAGGGTGTAGTAGGGAGACAGTTTAGCAGGTTAGGAGGGTAGGAGGTGTGAGCTTTACTCTGACAGCATCCAACACATGTTCAAACACAGCACCAGGACAGATGTGCAGGAATATTATATTTCT